CAGTTACAACACTTGTGCCAAGTCAGTCAGAACACTCCATGCAAACTGATGAAACCCCACATTGTCCCGCCACAAGTGCCCACAGCACAAGACGTGGAAGGAATTAGCCCGTCACAGCTGTTCCCAGGAATGTTTGCCTCCATGCACCCACAAGCAGGAAAAGGGCCCAAGCACTGTCCTCTCTGTTATCCTGGCAACACAGACATCCCAACAGGAAATGGGCTGCTCTCAGCTCAAGGAGGGTTCTAGATTCAAACACAAATCCATCCCTGAGGATAAATGAATCAAAGGGACAGCAACCATATGACGCTTCTGTCAAGAGGAAATCCTGTCTGTAGGCCTCTTGGAGAAGCCTGCTGTGCATATGGAACCAAGTTCCCCCACCAAAGCAGCAGGCCTAAGAACTCCCTGGCTCTGACCACTTTCAAAACCACGAGTACATCCACGGGCAGCCAAGATAACAAGAAGCTAAGAGATATGGTCTCTGAAAGAGAAGACCAACTCCTTTCTCCAAGCCGGCCCGCTGACACTTGGCAGCTGAGGCTCTATTCTCCCCAGTGCTCATGTCTGAGGCGTTAGGGTGTTAGGTGGGAGGCTCCCCTCTTCCACTGAAGCAGACAGTTTAGGGGTGCTGACAGCTGTCACCATTGTTCTTACAGGCTATGAAGCACAGTGTCTGGGAGACAGCCAACAAGTACCATCCTTTCCCACCAAACTCAGTTATCCACTAGGGCATATGCTTAGGGGCCTCTAGAGCTCTCAACCCATTTCCCCGCTGATGATGCTGAGGATGAGGAGGAAAAGGATGGGGAGGAGGAAGAAGAGCAAGAGGAGGGGGAGTTCTGTGATGCCATATACAGGTTTTGATGTCCAATAAGAATATGGATATACCTTTTAAGATTCTTTTGAGGAGGGTTGGTTGTGAGACAGGTTTTTTTTTCTCTGTACCCCTGGCTGTCCTGGAACTCACTTAGTAGACCAGGATGGCTTCAAACCGCCTGCCTCTCTCTCCTGAGTGCTGGGATTAAAGCCATTTGCCACAACTGCCTGGCCCTTTAAGTCATCTTAAAGCTATAAAGTGTAAGAATATTAATGGCACCCTTTTTATATTATACAGCTTTCTTTGTACATGGCTTACTTATAAAAGGGAGCATATGATCTATGTGGATATATCAGCTTAAGGACTGTAAACATTTGGGTCACAAGGGAGACAGTCTACTTTGTTCAAGGTTTCCCATAGGATAGGTGCTCAATTGGTTTTCAATTACAATAACAGTCACAATTTAATGATTAATAAGCTAAGCATGTCTGTTGTAAAAACAGCAAATCTGCCACAAGTCAGAATACAGTAGCCCCCTTATCTCCCAACAGTGCTTGATAAGATAGTAAAGGACCCTGTACGAGTTGTTTTGTCTTGAACACTCAGCTATGATAAAGTATAATTTATAAATCAGGCACAGCAAGAGAATAACAGCAAAAAGAAACTACGACAAGCATAATAATATATTGCATGTCTTGGCAACTTCAACATACTTTTTTTTAAGCTAAAAACTTTCAATTCTCACTTTTAAAGACACCCTCTAGAGCTGCTCTTTGGCGTATACTGAATTGCCAGCATCACTACTTCTGTGACTTGGGGCTACCTGAACACAAACACTGCCAGACCACAACAGTCAACATGGAGTCTACATGATTAATGGGAGGAAGCAAATATAGTTTGGGGACTCCGCACCAGAATGAGATCCTTGTCCCGAGTAGAACAGAACAGAACAGAACAGAACAGAACAGAACAGAACAGAACAGAACAGAACAGAACAGAACAGGAGTGAGATTTCTTCATGCTACACAGGGTGGCCCACATTGAAATTCTGTGAATTATTTCTAGAATTTTCCATTTAATATTTTAGCTAACAGCTGACAGTGGGTAACTGAAACCCCAGAAGTGCAGATAGAGATTTACAATACAAGGAAGGAGTCCTGTCTGGACTGCTGCCTCTGTGTGTTGGTGGGGTACACATAAAGAGGGAGTCGAGGATGTCCATGAGGACATTGCCATGTTGGTGCCAGATGTGATGAGATGGGAAGTGTCCATACTCTGCGTCCGGCAGGCCACTGTGAACTGAGATTAACCATGGGTGGCTGGAGTTTACCCGGCCTCCTTCAGCTACAAGCTGGAGTACACGCAGATGTTCTACTGTTCACTGCGTTTCTACTGTGACCTCAGGTAAACCTCCTGCTCCAGAAGCTTGAATTCTCATTCATGCTCCTCACCTCTAATGGCCCATGTGCAGAATCCTCCCTCAGATCATGGTCTGTTTCAGAAAGGAACTCAGGTAGTGCATAATCTTTCTGGAGGTTGGTTTTTTTTTTTTTTTTTTTTGCTTTTTGTTTTGTTTTTTTGTTGTTGTTGTTTTTGTTTGTTTGTTTGGTTGGTTGGTTTTGGTTTTTCGAGACGAGGTTTCTCTGTGTAGCTTTGGAGCCTGCCCTGGAACTTGCTCATAGACCAGGCTGGCCTCAAACCCACAGAGATCTGCCTGCCTCTGCCTCCATAGTGCAGGGATTAAGGGCGCCTGGCTGGAATATTTTTAAAATAAGAAAAAAAATCAGGTACTCTGAATTCTTTTTTAAAAAATCAAGGGGAAAATTTTTTTAAAAACCATGTTGGAAAATGAATCTTTGATAATGAGTGGGGTATGCACTTGGTACTTCCTGTATTTATGTTAAATAGAATGATTTTCTGAGTGAAGAAAAGAAGGTATGAATATAGTTGAATGGGGCTGTGAACAATATACAAACGCTAAGTCGCCAGGACTTGCTAATTCTTCTGCAGCCAGAACTGCAAATGCAGGACTTGCGTTCACCCTGTGATAAGATCGTTTGCAGAGCCTGACCTCCGTCCAAGTCACTTTTCAAATCAAAAAGCTTTGAACTCCAGGCGGGTTGGCAGTTTGGACCTTGGGTGTTTATGAAGAACTTCCTGTAGATAGGAGGGGACTACACTACCAGCTGCTCTCCCCACCCGACTCAACAGTGTGTGTGTGTGTGTGTGTGTGTACGTGTGTGTGTGTGTGTGTGTGTACGTGTGTGTGTGTGTACGTGTGTGTGTGTGTGTGTGTGTGTGTATCCCCCCCCAGTGTGAGCTGGCATCTGGTCAGGGAGGACCTCACAGTTTTAAGGTGTGGCTCTGTGAGCCGTCTGTGTCTGGTACACAGCAGAGATCTAGCTCAAGAAGAGATCAGGTGCTCCCCAGTAAGCCAATCACAGCAGCCAGGTCTGCCTCTGCGTCTTGCAGCCTGACATTGATTGGTGCTTGTTTCTGGCAGTCATTTTCTTCATCCTTGCCTACTGGATACCCAGTGCCATAGTAACAATTATGCACCTGGGCATCTGCTCCTTTCAGCAGCTGGCTGGCCTGCAGGCTCTCTGTTAAGAAACCCCACATCTGGGAGGCCCAGAGGTGGCCTATGGCTTTCCATTCCCCAGGATAACCATCTGATCCGACATTAGACTCCAGCCCTGTCCATGGAGAATACCCGGGCTTCCCCTGTTTCACTCATACAAACATCATGGAACTAAAACCAATGCTTCACTCTCGTCTGCCATTCCTCAACTCCTAAAATCTCTACTGTTCACCTCTCAACTTAACCCCCCCATTCCAGACCACACCAGCTTTCTTTGGGGTTTGCAAACACACTAGACTTGCTCTGCACTCCAGCTCTTTGCCTTTGGAAGAGCCTACACGTATCAAGGTTGCCTTTTGCACTAAGTAACCATCTGAGATGTAAAATCATTATCTCTTTAAGACCGTTACTAATATAAAGCAATAACTACCTATGCCCATTGGGGCCCAACATGCCAACCTATTTCTACAGCATTTAGTATGATCTTGTCTTATTTAGTTACTTGTATCTGATTTCCCACTGAAATACAATTCAGAGAGGGCGTGGCTTCAGATGCAAGATTACTGCAGTGCTTTGACCGTTCGAGTGCCTTCAATGCTGGACCAAGCCTTAAGTGCTCAATGGGACTGGGGAGAATTTTCCTGTGGGCCTATAAAATCAATATACTCCAGTGAACGCAGGTGTTCAATATATAGATAGAACCAAGAAACTGAGCTGTGATGAGAGTGGCTTTCTTTGCTACAAGGTTGGAGAAGAAAGACGAGGGAGGAAACGGTCCTGCTCTTTGCCTGACACCATCACATGCTGCTGATCTACAGGAAAAGGAGCAGTTCCCACTGGCTCTAGCGAGCAGCGGCCAATCACGGTCATCCACTCACTACAAATGTAGAGAAGCAGCGTTTGACAGCTACCCGGAGCCCTGGCCTCAGCAGAGAGAAACCAATCCTTCCACAGCAGCATGGTAGGGCCGATCTGGCAATGCAGCCACACACACTCAGTTTTGGCATATTGACACCTACAGGAAGTGCAGATCCACACTTACATATGCCTTAGGCATTGATGCCGAATGAAATGGATGCAGTTTAATCCAATACTGTGATGTTTTTAATGCGCTTCTTTTTAAGAGCCTTAATGCAGCCAGTTAAGATTTTTAATCTCAGATGTCAGATGATAAGAAGAATTGATTCTCTGGAGCTGTTATATTTAAGTTGCGGTTACGCGCACGTTAAATCAGTATCCTTATCCTAAAGGGTACATATGAAAATACATGTAGATAAAATAAGTTTATTGGAAAATGAGGTTGGCTTCAATAATAGCAGTGGAGAGGAGACGGAGAAATACGGCGAAGCGGGACTGACTGTATCAGCTGCTAACAGCTAAGGGGCAGTGATAGCTTTACACAGGTTACACTGTTCACTCGGGCTAAGGATGCAGCTCAGGGCTCCAGCACTTGCTTTACGGATATAAGGCCCTGGATCCTCTAACGTCAGATGAAGGAAGAAGGGAGGAAGGGAAGGAGGGATTCGCACAGCTTTACATATATGGAACATAAATCCCTTTAGACAAATAATTTTCACTCATAAAACGGCAGGAAGTTACCTGAAGGTGAAGGTTTCCCCTTTCCAGTCTTGCAGTGGGTTTTCCTGGATGATGTCCTTGGTCAGAGGTGAGCTCTGTAGAGGAGATTTGGAGTGGGGGAGGGTACCCATGTGACTGGCATTGTCACAGGACCGTATGGGAGGAGGGCCCTTTTTCTTCCGTGGAAGAGTGCCGTGTATAGACACGTCTTGATAGGCATCTGTGCGATGTTCAGCGAGAGGGGACTTGCTGCTCAGAAGGTCCATGGACGAAGCCAAGGGGAACTGGTGATTCACAACCATGTTTCTCGGAAGGCTTGCAAATTTTCCTGCAGCCATGATTCTCAACTCTGAGGAGGGAAAATAGAGGGAAGGATAAAGCTAAGATATTCACAAGAATCAGCCTCAAGCTTATGGAAGAAACTGGAAAAAATCATGAAATATCAAAAGGCAAATCATGTCTGAAGGCATCAGTAGTGGAACATCGCAAGCATGGATACTTTGTTCATCTCTCTCTTTCAGGGTCTGGAGAGAAATTCAGCAGGATGGGCAGCACTTGGGCCATCTTTATCATTACTGAAGTAAGAAAAAAAACTCATGAAAGGACTGGTAGGTTCAGTAGTAAATACCAAGAAAAATACTATAAATTGTTAGACGATGGTTACACTGATTTCCACCACCATGCAAATGGTAAGAAAGGCAGAGATGGTTGGAATTCTTTAACCTCTGGGATTTCTACAATGCCAGACCAAAACTGTGCTACCCACAATGATAGGGCAGCTTTTCTGGCGAAGACTCGATGCTTATAAATAAATCAGTGTACTCAACCAAGGCAGGGACAGGGGTCGGGGTCGGGGGTGGCTCTTTCTTCCATACGTCAGCATGCTCTATTGTACCAAAAAGCCATCAGGTGGTAACACCCTGTAGATTCTTTCCAAGAGGAGTGAGGAACCTGCCAGCCACCATCAGGATTAAGCAATGCCCACAGGTACATGTAAATTTGGGGAAGGAGAAAAAGGGAAGGCAGAGAGAATAACAAGGGGGGGGCACAGAAAAAGAGGAAAATGGTCATTGAGACAGCCGCACCAGCTCCAACAACTGTTCCCAGGTATGGCTGGCAGAGTCACTTGCCTGGAACAGTACTAAAGCTCCAAACTAAACTATAGCTTTTCCCTAAGCCAAACTGTACAAGACCCATCAAGGTCAACTTACAAATCAAACAGGGGCCCTACTAACAAGTTGTAACAATTCCCTGGATAAGATGTCCTGCATTGCCTATGGTATCATAGAGTCTGCACATCACCGTGGGACAGCTGAACTCCACAGACCATTCTCAAGCTCACAGCACCCATTCCTCACTCACCAGCCTTTCCATTGCAACTGTCAGGGGCCTTGAATGAAAACTGTCCCTCTAGCACCCCTGCAGAGTTGGCTCTATATGGAACTGTGGACTTGGCTTCACCGTCAACCAGTCTGGGAGCTCAGGGAGGTAGCAGAGGGATAAAGAGTTTGCAAGGGAAACCCACTTTGTATGCGAAGCCACACAGATCCACTGCTACATGCAACAGAGAAAAGGTCATGAGTGCTGGGAACTGGGTAGCATACAGTCAAGATCACAGTCCTAACCCTGCTCTTTGCCAGACCTGATAATTCAGAAGCTTGCCTGCTGCCTGTGAGACCACATGGAAGGCTTGGCTCACAGGGATGTAGAAAAACAGGGCAGTGAGTCCAGGGAGCGCCCCTCCTGTCCTGGCCAGTTCCTGGCACACTGTCAGCACTTACTCAATGTTAATCATTGTTATTTAAAAAAGAAATCAAAATTCCCTAGCCCTCTACCTGACCACCAGTGATGCAAACCAGCTAGCAGTCCCCCACCCCACTCCCACCCCCACAGCTGTGAACTCCCCCTGTTCAAGCCGTCAGCACCCTCCTTCTTCATTGACAGGATTGTCATCTCAAAGAAACTGGTGGGGTGGGGGGTGAGGAGAGAGAGACACAGCACGCGCCACTAGCACTGCACAATATATCTTCATGTGTAAGGCCACGCTGTTGATGGAGTCTGTTTCCATGAACCAGGAAGAGCCAGAGTGACTTTAGCCCCAGTGACTTTGGCATCTGGCTTCTCCGCACATCCAAGTTTGGCTTGGAGTTTGAGGTTGCACTAGAAGGCTCTAAAATGCTCTTGAGTACCCCACACCTAAATTTACCCTCTGATAATAAAGTCTGTTGACATCTTCCTTTCCTATTTTTAATTCAACTAACATTTAGATAGTATTCTATATACGATCATAAAGTCCCAACCTAGAACTCACAAATAGCGACCCTCATTCTGGAAGGAACAATAGTTAACTTTGACAGAAGTACTTCTAGGGATCCAAAAGAAGATGAGAGATAAAAAAAATTGAAGGTGTCAGGAAAAGCCTTCTGAGAGGACACCGTAACAGCAGACCCACACAGTGTGGAAGCATCCTCACACGCTGCGGCCCCTGCAGGCTTAAGTGGCGAAGTTGAGAAACACTTTCTGAAAGACCTACATACATTTTAGGGCAAGGCCATGGAGTCTCAAGGGTTCTACCAAAGTGTCTGACTTGACTGGTGAGCGCCAGGGAAGACCTGTACAGAAGGGATCCAGACTGTACCTCAGAAGGTGACTCTGGTAATTCTGGAAAGGAAAAAGGAAGCCAAGCTGTCACTCAGGCAGATGGCAGTAAACCAGGAAGAACAATGAAGATTCTGACTCCAGGAAGTGGCCAAGAGAAAGGACAGGACGGAGCGCAGAATTATTAGAAGCTCAAGGTCTCCAGCTGGAAGGGAGGGAGCCAAAGCCACGGCCATGCGGGGATGGCATGGTGCGGTAGCACAAGTGGTTTCAGAAGAGGTCCAGGCAGGAGGGAGATAGGGTCACCAACCGGAGCTGTGTGTGAGGCACCAGGGATCAGCTCAGTGCAGGAGGCTCATTCTGTATGTTCAACACGGAGCGAATAAACCAGAGCACTTACTGGTGTCACCAATGACAGCAGATGTCAAAGTATCTCCCACACTACCAGAAGTCATCAACAAAACATGAAGTACATCCTCACCCTGGCTGCCTCAAGGCAGAGACTGAGTTCTAAATTACAAAAACCTAGGGCTCAGTCTGGCTGCCCGTTAAGAATGCTATAGGGAATATTTACAGTGTGGCTCAACTGCAAACCAGATTCTAAAATCAGAATCTCTGTGGGCTGGACACCAGCATCAGCATTTTTAAAGCTCTACAGCACTGCCCAGTCTGGAACCAGGACTGAGAAGCACTGGGGAGTCTCTTTGGCGGAGAGCAGCTTTCACTTGACTTCTCTACCTGGGTAACAGAATCAAATGGGGGAGGGCCTCAAATCCTGCTGATGCTGTCCTCGGTCTTCAAGACAAAAGAAAAGAAAAGAAAGAAAGAGGGAGGGAGGGAGGGAGGGAGGGAGGGAAGGAGGGAAGGAGGGAGGGAGGGAGGAAGGAAAAGAAAGGATGCCTGAGCTTGACAGGTTAAAATTTATAGATGGCCGGGAGTTGGTGGCGTACGTCTTTAATCCTAGCACTCGGGAGGCAGAGGCAGGTGGATCTCTGTGAGTTCTGAGACCAGCCTGGTCTACAGAGTGAGTTCCAGGACAACCTCCAAAACAATACAGAGAAATCCTATCTCGAAAAACCAAAAAAAAAAATTGTAGAGGAAGCCAACAATGACAGTAAATGCTGGTAGTTCAAGTTCATTCATTCATTCATTCATTCATTCAAAATATTTTCTGTGAGCGCTTACAGTGTACCAGGGAGGGGGCTATAATAAGGGTATGCTCTCAAGACGCCTGAGATGTGGGGGTCTCCAACCAAAGCACAAACACAAGAAAATAAACCAGGCAATACCCACGTTGTAAGTACTCCAAAGAATTCAAAACAAAACACAGCAGAGTGAAATGATAAAAGATGCTGGTTGGAGGAAAAGATAACTTTATGATATGATGGTCTGGCAAGGCCTTTCTGAAGAGTTAACAATGGCATGAGATCTGAGAAAAAAAGATAAGGGACCAGGCAAGAAAGGATCTGAAGGCAGTTCCAGGCAGGGGAAGGATTCCAGTGCAACAAATGCAAAAGCCTAGGAATAGATAGCTAAACAGATCCACGGAGGATCTGAACTCCTGAGTCCCAGGTATTCTCCTCACTGGCGGATGTTTCTGTGCTGATGCCACTAGTCCTTAAACACCCTTCTGTGCCGTTTGGTCTCTGAAAATCAAAATGGTTTGCCTCAGAACCTGTGTTTCAGAGCCAGTATTTACTACTTCAAGCCTCTACCCTGACTCTCTCTGCCTGGGTAGCTATGAGGCTTGGGACAAGTTACGCCACTTTCTAACAGTCAGTCATGTGTCTTAAATGTGTTAACAATCCTGTCCTCAGGGATTGCTGTGAAAATTAAATGTGATCCTGTACAGTGAAGTCCCTGGTGCACAGCAAGCAAGAACTCTTCTCCTCCCATCAGGACAGTGCCCATGTCTGCAAAGCTTAGTCACTGTGTCCCCACTGACGCTGGAGCTCGCACAAGAAAACACTGCAGCTGGGGAGGGCGAGGAGCGAGATGTTTGAACCTAGAACAGAGGTAAACACACCAGGCCGAGAGGACACAGACACCAAGTGAACCATGTGCGAGCTTTCAAACAAACACCAGCAAAGACTTTGACCCATCCGCCTTGACTGCCAGACCCTGGAATCCACACAGGTCAGATGCTGCACCCTGATAGGGGGCGTAGGAGAGTGGGAATGCTCAGGACACGCTGGCCACACAACAAACTCTAAAGCAGCCTTGCTGCCCGCCTTCCTGACTGACCAGCCACCCAGCTCTGAAAAGTTAACCAGCTTGGTCCAACTCACTTGCTCTACACAGATGGCTAAAACAAAACAGCAAAGCCTGATGATGTTGCAAGCTGGAAACAGCCCACTTGCTTAGATTCTTCTCCAGTTCTGATACAGGGTGTTTTCACGTTGAACTCACACACGGCAATCTGATGAAGGAGCCTCAAGAACTTTCATATTTCAAACTGGAAATGTCACTGCCTCAGCTGCCCTTACCATGACAGAGAATTTACAATTCAAATCAGTGGCTCCCATCTTCTCTGCGAAGTCAGACAGACAGCACGGGCAGATGGGACTACCCCACAGATAAAATTGGCTTCTCCACTTAGAACTTTTGCTTGGCTTTTCGAAGGGAGAGTATCCTTTTCTTTTTGAAGTAAACTTATGAAGTCTAGCCAAATGATTGAAGTATGAATAATTTTTCCGTGGATTGTATTTCAAGCAATACGGTGAAGGAGTTACAGGGCAAGGTTCTTAAGATTAGCACCCATCTGACAAAGCAGTTTTTTTCTTTATGGATAGGAACTGGTCTTGGTTACTCATCTTGGAAATGCCAGGCTTTTTTATTTAACAACACTTGTGAGGGAGTCGGTGTTGGGCGCTGAGGGAGCGTTTGGCATGTAAACTGTTTTCTTTCCGCTCAGGAGGCTTCCTGGCACACTAGCGGGTGGGCAAACGGATGAGCCAGTAGGCTTCCCGTGTCTGAGGGGCCCCTTCCCACTCGGCCTTGAAGAGCCTCCTTCAGGATCTCATCTCCACCAGGGGGAACACAGCGTGAGATACATCAGCTTCAAGCTGACCTTCCCTGGGCCGATGTACTTGCCGTGGAGAGGTCGGTAGAACCTTGGGAGATAGGAGTCAAGGTTTAACAGAATTTCCGCACTCGGGGCGCTACTTTTCCTGCCTAACTGCTGCAGGCAAAAACAGACTCGGGTTATACCCTTTCTCGCCTGCCCTTACAGGACTGTTAAACCTTAGTCCTGTGATGCGCTGTCCCACAGTACCCACTGCCTTTGCCAGCTGTCCCCAAAGGGTGTCTATACCTGATCTAACTCTTTAAAGTGGCAGTAGACTAGGCGGGTAAAGGAAGATGGGCTGCGACCCGTCCCTCCCTCCTTTTGCCCTCCCCTCCCCGACTCAAGGGGAACCACACAACCAACTATTCATTCTTTCTCAACAAAGGGAAGGCGAGGGGAGGGAGATGTTGTCAACGGTTACAGGGCAGACTCCTTCACTTTCTTTGCAAACTTCCCAAGAGATTAGTGGGAAAAGCCTCCGGCTTCCAGCAGAGTCCTCTGTGCCAGCCACCTCAACTCCCCAACCTAGACCCGCCTCGGGCAGAACGGGACAGGACTGGGAAGGGGTCCGGAGGGGGTCTGGAGGCCAGCGCGCCCGGGACGATACCGTCCCGGAGCCGAAGAGTGGAGATGCTGAGAGCACATCACGGTGCCCCGCTCCCGGGAGCTCCGGAATCCGACGACCCCGAGGGCACAAGTCTGGCCACCCCCATCCCCACTCCAAGTCTGCGGGGCTTCAGGGGGAGAACACCCGGGCTGCGTCCTTCCCCGAGCCTAACTTTGCTCTAAAGAACTTCCCAGTGCAGTCTCAGGACGGCCGAGGGAGCCCGGGAGCCGGAGCAGCACCGCACCGGGCACACTCACCTCCCCGCGCGGCGCTCCGGGTCCGGGTTGCGCTCAGCGCCGCTCTGCCCGCACCGCCCCGCAGCAGCTCCCGGAGCGTGGGCGGCTCATGGTCCGCGGGCGTCCGCCTCGGCGCGGCTGGTCGGTGCGCACGGCGGCTCCGCTCCGGCTCCCGCCCGGCCCGGCGGCGGCAGGCACGGCTCTGAGCCCGCGGCGCGCTCTCTGGCCCTCAACTGGTGATTTGCGGCTTGGCGGCCCCACCCCGCCCAGCCGATTCGCCGAGCTGGGCCGAACCCCCGCGACATTTACATTCGGTGACCTCGTCTGGCCCTCCTCGGTCGGGATTTGAGAGTTTTGACTCCCCCTATCTCCTCCGAGAAGCAAGACTTCAAGTGTAGCTCGAACTCTTCTTTGGGGAACCTCACTCAACCGGCCAGCCTCACCTAATCCACTCCTCCCCCACTTCCCGGCCTTATTTAATTACCCAATAGATCTGCGGCTCTGCAGACACCTGGCTGGCTTTCAATTTAAAGGACTTTGATGGGACAAAGACAGGTAACCACAGTGAACAAGCCTGGAAACAGGTAAATCAATCACTCTCACAAGCGAGCTTGGGAAGCCAAGTGGGTGGAGGCGTACATACTAGCAGTTACCAGACATATTTATAAAGTCACACAAACACAGCAGACAGACTAATGGGCCAATGGACCAGAATTCAGAAACACATCTGCACTCTCTGGTGGCATGATTTATGTCAAAGTTATTGCTGTGATGCACTGACCGTCCAGTTCAATAAATGATGCTAGGTCATGGAGTCAACCCACACCCCAAATCTAATCCTAGTAGATTTCAGATCCCCAAATCTAATCCTGATAGATTTTAGATCTAAAAATAAAAGGTAAAACGGTGACACTAAAGAAATTATCAGAAAATACCTTGCTGTAAAGATTCCTTAAATGCATGAACTATTAACTCTAAAGGGGGACTGCTCATTGACAAAATTGACATTAAGAGCTTCTATACCATGAATGAAAATGCAAATCACAGACAAAACACAAGCAATGCATACGTCTAATAAAGGAAATGCATATAGAATATATAAAGAACACCGTTAGGAGTAAGGCAGAAAGTTCGACTGAAAGCAGGCAGGGGATTTTATTTAGGCAGCGGGCCTAGTGTGCTTCTCTGTTGCTGAGATGAATGCTATGACCAAGAGCAACTTGAAAGAGAAAACTGTTTATTTGGCTTACAAGCTACAGTCCACCATCAAGGGAAGCCGAAGCAGGAATTCCAGTGGAGACCAGGGAGGAAGGAGGCTCAGGCTTATTCTCCCTGGTGTGCTCAGCGTTCTTGTACAATCCAGACCCACCTGTCCACGGGTGACACCACCCACAGTGGATTGAGCCCTCCCATGCCAATCATTAGTCAAGAAAGCACCCCCATGACATGCCTACAGGCCAGTCTCATGGAGGTAACTCTTCAACTGAAGTCTCCTCTTCCCAGGTGTCTCTAGATTGCTCAAATTGATGAAAACTAACCACCATAGATGGGCAACTGGACAAAACCAGAAAAGCAATACATGGGCACAACCAGAAGTTTGCCTAGCATAAATCTTTTAAATGAGCCAAATGATTCTGCAGCTAAAGAATGGCTAAAGTGAAAAATTCCATAGACAGCCTTAGCAACAGCGTCAAGAATTCTTGTACACACACACACACACACACACACACGTACCAGTAAACTTGAGGAACTTTGTGTCTTGAAAAAAGAAAGGAAAAGCCAATCAGTTTATGCAACGCCATCAAGTGAATTAATATATTGCATTATAGGCATTCTGGCTGGAGCCGGCCAGACAGTGGAAGAAAACATCCTGAATAGACCGAGAAAGGAACACCCTGACCCACGGAGTCAGAGAATGCTAACCAGTTAAGTATAAATATAAACTACCTTGCCGTCAAACTTGACAAGCAGAGCCTTGACATTTATTGGTGTGTGTATTACCTTCACAATAACTCCTTTTAAAACCGTGCCCCCATGTCATTGTTGAAAGAGCCACTGGTTTAGTCTTGCTTTGAAGTAGCCTTTAAAAGGTGACCTGGTTCCAGAACATTAAGTTTGTTCTAGTAGATTCTGAGGCCAAGTCAGCTGAAGGCTTTATAACACAATATTCAAAAGCTCTGGCCTTGTCTGTGGGTACAAGATCGTAAACAGCCACTTGTAAGAGCCTAGTCCTCACACACTTCGCTCTTCCCCAGACTGTACTGTAGCAGTTACGGGGCACTGTCAGCTTCCAGAAACCCAGGTCAGGTCTACTGACCAATGACTTACACCAGAGCACGGACCCTTTATGTTGTATTCTGCAATACTGCATACTGTTTACTGCTTAAATTGAACTGACCAAAAAAAAAAAAAAAAAAAAAAAAGTTGGGCTAGCTGTAGACTCAAATGGTAACTGACCACTAAGTGTCACGTGACTGTCCTCAAAGATGTGAATACCATTGTGTAAGACTTTACATAGTCTTAACTTTCTTGGTCAAGCTTAATTTTTCCCTTCAAACTGTAAAAACATATTATCAACGACATGCTTCCCATTTTCATCTAATGTGAATATGTGTGGATTACTACACAGTAACAGGAATTAATGAGAGTATATTTTAGTAGAGTAAAAGAGAATATTTAAACTTCATTTTTTACTAGGTACAATTCACATAATTCACAAATTAAAAAAACTATGTAACACACACACACTGTTCCTCATTGCCTTGAAGAAAACCCCCAAACACCCAAACCCATGGATGTTCAAGTCCCTTATAGAAAATGGTATAGTATTTACAAATACCTGTGTGTTGTAAATTCTCTATAGTTTATAGTACCTAATACAATGCAAATGTTATGTATTTACTTGTTAAGTTGTAATGTTTAGAGACTAAGGACACATTTTCATTTATTTTACTAGTGGATATTAATTATATAAAAACTTCATTATGACATTTTCATATGTGAATATAAAAACCACACTCACCTTCCTCCCTTAATCCCCCATTTCCCACTAGTCCCTCCTACTTCCTAACTACAGGTTCCTTTTTTCTAAAGACAGGGTCCCATGTAGCCCAGGCTGGCTTGGAATTCACTATATGATCCTCCTGCCTCCCAGTCAGTGCTGGGATTACAGATGTGGAACCCCATGGCGGTGCATACAAGGCTAGGAATTGGGTTTGAGGCTTACACAATAGACAAAGAGTTCTACCAGCTGAGCATATCCCTAGCTCCATCAAATGCAGTTTCCTTAAATTTTAAAGATTTACTTATTTTATGTAGATGAAGCCTTTGCCCACATGCGTCACATTCATGCCTGGTGCCCTGGTAGACCAGAAGAAGGCACTGGATCCCCTGGACATTTGTCTCGTTTCCAAGCCTTACCTGGTACAAAGAATACGGCAATCAATAAACTCTGCAAGTACATCCATGCAACAAATGTCCACAATTAAACATTACTGACTCAAAGAGTATATTTTTAATTGAGATAAATAACAGCAACTTGCTTTCCACAGGAATTATTCCAATTTATGAATATCAATCTGATTTTACCCAGCCCAATCAGAAGGTGTTATTAGACACTGGGGTTTTCATCAACTTATCAAGTAAACTATGAATTCTAATTTGCATTTCGTGATTACTAGTCTTTTGTTTTTCCATTTTTGAGTTTGTATTTCCTTTTTTAGAGTTATTTTACTTTATGTGTATTGAGGGTTTTGCCTGCTTATATCTCTGCACACTATGTGCATGCCTGGTGCCCAGGGATGTAGAAGAGGGTGTTAGATTCCCTGAAACTAGAATTGAAGCCAGCATGAGGGTACTGGGAATCGAACCCAGGTCCTCTGCAAAAGCAGCAAGTGTTCTTAGCTTCTGAGCCAGAAACTCTAGATTTCTATATTTCCATTAAAAAGAATCCATCTGTGGGTTCTTCTCCTATCAACTTTTAGGGTGTCTTTCTATATCAGGAAGCTCAGCTTTGCATGGTATGAGCTGGGTTTTTTTTCCTATCATAACTTTTTAAAAGAGAGAATATAGGGGAAGCACTGTTCTTTTAGGAGCCCACATTGGAAGCATTTGGAATAGTGAACCAAGTTGTGGACACTGATTAGAAAGCTGTGGCAATAATCTTACTGTCATATGTCAAGTGCTTTCACTTGGCTGGTGGCAGTGGGCACGGAAGTGAAGGACCAGCGTTATTGCCAGGAAGTAAACTGACAGGAGTTAATCCTACGTGGCTATAGGAGTGGTGATACCCAGATGCCACCCTGAGCGCTCCAGGAACTTTGTGCTGTTCCTGACCCTTTCAGGATTGCAAAACCGGGGAGTCTAATGAGTTAAACGAGTTGCTCAAACTCACATGAGAGGTACGTGGCAGGATAAGGGTAACCCCTGGTCTGTCCAGCCCCAGCTGCCTGGCAGGGTAAAGGAAAATGATCAAAGTCTTCAGCCCGATGACAGATGCAGAGGCCTGGGAACAGCTGCCTCTGGCCCTGGAGACATGCTCAGTTTTAGGAACGCTGGGTGCTTTTCAGAGTTTGTTCCATGATCGTTTTCGCTACATCTCTGGGTCAGGAGGAGCAGCTCCCTTGTCGCTGATGTGAAAGCAGATTAAGCAGCCATCTCGGCTCAGATATCCTGCTCTGCAGAGAGCTCTCCATGGGTCAGGCTCCTTCTCTTCCTTGTACTTGTTGCTGTTGCTAATTATACATTTGCTTTTGTTATTGCTGTTTAATATTTATTGCTCTATAGAATGTATGGTCTATGTTTGGGTTGGCCTTTGTTTTGTTCTTACTAAGGGGCCCGGCACAGTACTCAGACCTTGTTGCATGAATAAATGAACTCCAGACGTCTAGGGCCTTTGGCCTTTTATCCTTATACCCCATCCTAAAGCTCCCTGCAGGCTACAGAAATGGAATGCTATGCTGGTTGTGCCATAAACAGTCTTAGGAGTCACGTTTCTCCAGGCTGTGCTAGCCTCCACTTGCAGTTTTAGACAGGGAAGCCCTCGGCTGCCTCCCTCCAGCAAATGGATGAAAGGACAGCACTGCGATGGCTTCAGGGCCCAGCAGGACGGACACTCGGTCACGGAGCACTCAGCCTGGAGTTGACCCTCAACTTTGTGGACTCACAGAGGAATTTGTCGAGTCCTGTCCTATGA